GGTGGCTCATGATAATCTAAGCCTCAGTCATGGCCCTATACAAGGTTGGCTCATGACACAGAGCTAGTCGAGAAACAAATGTTTATAGTTTTGGCATAGTTGCTTTAGAGATTGCTTGTGGAAGAAAGCCTATCTTGTGCAAGGAGAATGGGGATCAAATAAACATAGTGGAGTGGCTTTGGGAGTTCTATGCGAGAGGAAAGCTCATGGAAGCAGCTGACCCCCGACTACAGGGGAATTTTGGTGAGCAACAAATGGAACGCTTGATGATTCTTGGGTTGTGCTGCGCTCAACCAGATTACAATTTTCGGCCTTCAATGAAACAAGTGATTAGTATGCTTAATTTTGATGTTGCACCGCCCCTTATCCCATTAGAAATGCTTGTTTCAGATGATTTTTCTGCTTCATTTAAGAACCTTATACTTTCATTTATGTCATCCTATGCTACCGGTCCTTTGAGGAGAATCTGGACTCAGTAATTCAAGTAGCAATCCCCAACCAGCACCCCTCAGCAGAATCATCAACGTGCGTCGCTTCTTCTTCAACTTCTTCCCTTCTGAGTGGCTCTGGGACATGCCATCAGTCGGTTCTCAGTTTATATACTACATGTTTTATTTCTGTATTGGCATGTTTCTCCCTTGCAGTCAAGTTATGCTTGAAGTTTCTCTTCTCATGTCAGGTTTGGTTAAAACAAATGTACAAATACAGTCAATGCTTGTAATATACACCAACTAATGTAATTATGGATAAATTGTGTGAACACTAAGTTATGAAATATTTAATTTATCCTCTAGAATCTATAGTATAGGTTCGGATCTAGCGTGAAAAGAATTCCATTTTATTGCCTTTTCATGGCACTGAATTTCTTGCTCTTGAATCTGCACTAATTGCTATTAAGATTTTTAAACAAAAATGATAAAATGAGCAAAAACCGAGAAGGTCTTGCGCAAGCATTAAAGCATTTTTACACTACCCATTATCGTAGGTAAAATAGACTTTTTAGTATCTACCAAATAAGAATTAATATTTTTTATTTTTTTACAAAAATATAAAATAATAGCCCTAAAAAAAAAATAGTGGTAATCCAAGTACAACTGGATAAGTAGCATATTTATTACTCTTGATTCTCAGTCAACATCAAAATTTGGCGACTCCCGTCTTGAGAATAAAAGTGAAATATCCTACTCAAAAGCCCCCTCGTTTTCTTTGCTTCTTTTCTTCTCCTTTCGCAATGAAACAACACACTATCACAGATACAAAAAGCAACTGCCACCACACTCTCTCTCTCTCTCTCTCTCTTTCTCTCTCTACCAGCAATCCCCGTCTGATCTTTTTCTCTAACAAATAACATCGCCTGATGGGTCTTCTCTCTTGTTAAAGGTCAGTCTCGGTAGAAACCAAAATTCAACACTCTGTTTTTCTTTTCTTTTTTTTTTTTTTCGTGAGTTCTAAACGAGGGAGAGAAAATCTGGCCCAAAAATTGAAAACTTGGGTGAAATCTGAATGCCTGTTTCTTGCTTATGTTACAAGTTTTTGAGCTTTCCAAGATTTTGTCGGAAGGATATAGATAAGAGTGGCTCAAAGTTGTTGGAGGACCCACATGCAGATTCTGGGTCGGTTTATTTTGTTGGTGATTGTGTGCTCTATTCTTAAGTTGCACAAGAGCGTTTTACAGGTTTCCTTGGGGCTTTCATGATCGACTGTGCTTCATGCTTGAAGTTTTTCACTCCAGGAAATGAATTTTTTGGATGTAGGTTTTTGGTGTTTGGTCGTTTCTCGCATGTTTTTAATGTTTTGGGGCTGTTTTTGATGTTTGGTTTGGGGTTAAAGTTTTTGCAATTTGGTTTGACTAATAAATGTGTAATGCAATTTTTATATGATTTGAGAGGTGGGATTTGTTCAAAACATGTCCTCCATGAAGCTTATGATCCAAAGATTAGGCATTGTCGGTTTGGTCCATTGAAACTTTTAGACAAGTGCAAACAACTCTTAGAGGGACATATTTATGGTAAAGCAAAATCTGTTATAGTCGAGGATAGTGATGAAAAAGAAAAAGAATGTTGTCCTGAAGATGAAGAATCTGATCTGTTGGCATTGAGGAAATTGGTTAAAATTGAAAGGAGAAGAACAAAAGCTGCTTATCAAGAGCTTGAGAAGGAAAGAATAGCAGCTGCATCGGCCGCTGATGAGGCAATGGCCATGATTTTGCGCCTTCAAAGCAAGAAGAGTTTAGCGGAAATTGATGCTAATCAGTTCAAGCGAATGGCAGAGCAGATGCAGGAATATGATCAACAATTTATCGAATCATTGCAATGGATTGTAATGAAACATGAGTCAGAGAGGAGTTTATTGGAAAATCAATTGCAGTTGTGCAAGCAGAAGTTGAATCTTTATATGAAAGATGATGAATTAGACCAATTTGAAGTTGATGCAGGCTTCAGCATTTTGCATGCTACTAAGAAAGATGTTACGAATGAGGAGTTAGTTAGCTCCCATGAAATTGAAACTTTGGCACTGTAAGTTGTTTATTTTATTGCTCATTAGGGTGAGAGTTAGATGCTCATTTTTTCAAGTTTGGAAATAGATTAAAGTAGTAAAGACTACAGTTCAGCTATTATCTGCTCTTTCATTTCTTTCTTCTCCAAAATTTTATTTTCTTTGCCGATTTGTTCTCATACAACTGTAGCTTCAGCTACATTAATGTAGCTCTGTAGATGCATTCTATCTAGGGAGCATTTAACAAGGATTTACGATAGAGAATAGAAAAGGTGTTACAAGTGTTGGGATTTGAATCTAAACATAACCAAATGCCAACTGCATGAACCAAACTTATTTAAGGTCGGTTTGGTGATATTGCTTTTTTTCTTAGTTGTCGCTTTTTGAGCATTTTAAGTAATTTAGTACACACTCCTGGCCACGTGCACATTGCCTAATGGTAGCTTCTAATTTTTCATTCCATCTTTAGAGTTGTGATTTAATCTTGTAAAGAAATTGAAAGAGTAATGTTTTACACAAATTTGTGCTTGTTAATTATGGATTCATATTTTTTAATCCAAGAAGAAAACAATCTAATTAATATAGTACTAATATTAGATTACAGCATTAAGAATTTAAGATTGTTTTCACTTGGTTTTGTAATCCTTCTCTCATTTTCATTTCTTGTTCGTGTGCCAAAATGAGCTTCAAGCTCGAGTACTCCAATCTTATGAACACAAGCCCCTTGATTCTAACACCAATTCCCCACATTCCCTCCACCGCACGTTCGTTCATCCAATGATCCCCGAACATTGGTCTGCAGATCATCGGCACTCCATTTGCAACGCTTTCTACCACAGAGTTTGCTCCACAGTGTCACAAAAATGACTGTTGAAGCACGTTCCAAGACCTCTGTTTGCGGTGCCAACGAAACAATTTCCCCACCATTCTTACATGCTTGTTCTTGAAGAAATCCATTAGGTAAGTGGTGCTTATGATCGTCATTTGGAGACCAAAGAAATGGAATGTGACTCTCTACAAGTGCCTCCGCTAATGCTATTAACTCATAGCCTTGCGGGGTTGCCACAACTCCAAAGCTAATATACACGACAGACTTCGATTTTTGCCTGTCTAACCATGATAAACACCTTGTCGCATCTGAATCTGATGGAAGTAATGGAGGTGGGGGTAGTTCTTGTGTTAGGAAACCAACATTTAGCAAATTTGGGAACATGGACTTTGAGAACATCTAGGAGTCGGGTGGGAAAAAGCTCTCAGCAAAAATTCAAGACAATGAGTAGCTCTAGGCAAAACAAACCCAATTTGACACATGTAAGAAAAGAATGTTTATTTTGAACCTCTGGGGTAATATTTCAGCAGACAAATCTGTAACGTAAATTCCAGATAACCCTGGAATAGCTTCCAAAGTTTGGTCTTGGAATTTTGCACCATTTTCGTCACCTCCAACATGACTGAAAAGCCTTCGGACGAGATCAGTATAAATATGGGATGAGAGATTGTATGGGACCGAACCACAGAGGGATCCAAGAATACATCCGTGACACAGCACCTAACATTCCTACCGGTTCCCGAAACTGCAACATCAAAGCCCTTTGTACAGTTTCCATGAATTACCTTGAGGAAGAGTTCAAAGCTCTCCACTGGGTTTCCACTTAAAACATGATTCTGCGGTACACCATCCTCCTCATTATATGCTCTGACACTATTAGGAACATCAAGCTTAAAAGCCGAAAACATGGAATAACTAAATTTTGCTGTGGTTAGAATGAAAACTGCACATTCGGAGCTGCACAAGCCAACTTGCATGTCAGGCTTAGGATGGTTAGATCGTGACTGGCAAGACGTTAACATGTTGCGCTTTTAAGCCTTGGGTCTTTGGCATCTAGGAATTCGGTCACAACTTTCTATAGATGGAGTTTGTTAACTTTATTTATTTATAACCAAGAATTTGCCAATTTGGTGATTGAATTGCACAGATAATCAAACTCCTTGGGTTTTTTTTTTTTTTTAATACAAAAAGCTTATTTCTTTTAATTTTATACTTTGTGTTTTTTCACTTTTTGGGTTCAATTTGGGGAGCTTTCAATGTCAAATTACAGTGCATTCAAGTCGGAGCGTTTATAAATGCATTTAAGAAGAACTAATTTGATTCGTCAAAAAAATGAGAAGAATTAATTTGATATCTTATTTTTTAAGTCAATTCCAACACTAATAAACTAATCACAGTTTGTTTTTGTTTTTAAAAGTTAAAATAAAAAAGAACTCTTGAAATAAATTTTTATATTTTTATTATATTTAAATAAATCTTTTATTTTTTATTTGGACTAAATAATTTTTAACATAAATTAATTTTAAAATTTTATTTATATACAAATTAAAAGATAAAAATTTATTTGAGTATAATAAAAATATTATTTTTTCTAAAAATGAAATATTTGAGTACTTTTTTAATATTTTAGTCTTCTAATCGAAGATATGCTAATAATTCTAGTAGTGTTTGGGCATGTTTTTAGCCCAATTTAACATAGGCCATTAACCCAAGATCAACTTCAGCTAAGGCCGTGGCGGCGTCGTTTGAAACCACGCTTCACCGGGTTCAAGCAATTCCCCATCTCTGTCGAAAGAAATCAATCACATAGAAAACCAGTGAAATGGAGAAGCTGAAGAAGAAAACGCCATCGTTTTCGTTTTGGATTTGGGTGATAGCATCGATCATCTTCAGACTGATTCTGATTTACTTCCCCAAAAACCTGAACCTATCTTCTCGTCCCGAAGTCTCCACTCCTCTCACCAGCTTCCGTCGCCGTACTCTCCCTTTCCCTCCCTATTTTAAAATCAATTCCGCTCTTCCTTAATTTATATTTTGACTTAAATTTTCTTTTCTTTTTATTTTTATTTTTTGGGTGCAGTGGCTGAAGGTTACTGGTTAAAGCAGTCATCTATGTCTCCTTACGCAGGTTTTGCACTTTTTTCTTTGCCCAACATTTTCGAAAATTTTTTATTTTTCATATAAATTCGATAAAAAAAAGAAATGTATTTGATTTCTGGTTTTATGTTTTTCAGGATCTATGTACCATGGTTCCCCTTTGTTATTGTCGCTTCTTGGACCGCTTACAGTTAAGAGGTACCACTTCAGCTTATTATTTTTGTCTTTAACCTGTAATATTTTTTTTTTCTTTTTAATTTACACTCCTTAATGATTTAATAGTTTTGATTTTTTTTTTTTTTGGGTGGTGCAGAATTGAAGGACAGCCTGATCATCTTTTGTACAGGTAGGATCTTTTGTTCTATTTACATTAATACGTTTTAGTGGCAATTTTAATGTGTTACTATTCATTGCAAAATGTTGATCAGTTCTTTTGTGGACCTTTTCTTTAGAGTATGGCCGATTTTTTCTTTAAAAAATATGTATTTTTCTGCTCATGTAGTTAATATCTACACATTTTTGGATACAGTTTGGTTTCTGTGATTGCAGATGTTTTTAGTGCAATGCTTATTCGTGCTACTGGACAGAATCTTCGGCTTGCTTACCTTTTTAGTTTGGAATCTTTAGACCTTGTTAAACAAATAGAAGTTTCAGGTAAATTCTTTAGTGTTGCCTTCTTATTAGGGGGGAAGATAACATACATCGGCATGCATTCTTCATGTAATTTTAGTCAAATGCATGCCTTATTCCTCTTCTTTCTTATCCAAAGCTGATGAACTTAGTTACTGATCGTAACCAGAGATCCTTTCTTCTGGAGATATTGCCGCTCTTATCTACTTATGGAATCCTTTCACAATAGTTGCATGTGTGGGCTTGTCAACATCGCCAGTTGAAAATATGGCTGTCATTTTGTGCCTTTATGGAGCATGTTCACGTAAGAGATTTTTAAAAGCTGTAATACCTCCTTCTGATTGTTGATTAGTAGGTTTCTGTGTGTATGTTTGGCTATGTGCATGTGTGTTGTCTTTGAGCACTATTCTATTTGTCTTTATTTCTTCTTCCAATTCTTGGTTGAGATTTGTCAATTTCTTATTGAGAAATGCATTCATCTCAATAACTGTGAATGCATATAAACCAATGAATTGGGGATCATGCTTCTGGTGCATGAAACCTTTTATCTCTGATACTGCTATAACTTATGTTCAATTTTCTCATTTGATATCCTTATGCTTCTTTTAATCATGGGGCTTTAATTTAGACTTTAAGGACATGGATATCGAGTATCTACATAGATTTGGAGTGTCAGATACGGTTATCCTCAAAATTTTAGCATCTGGATACATTCTCACGCATCATACAAATCTAGTTTTTTTATGATAACCTGACTTTCAGAATTAGAGTTTCAAATACTTATAGTTTTTGGGATAACTATCCGAGTTAATTAGGGTTCCTAAGGTTTCCACCAAGGTTCCTAAAAATGCCCAAAAGTGGAGGGTTGAGAGATATCTCATCTGTAATATGTTACTTGAGAGTTGAGAGGCAGAGAACGTTATATTTTTCTCTTTATATCTCAAACCTGGGGAACATTTTGTTTGTTTTTGGATATATTTATAGTCTGTAGCTACTTATTGAAAAAGTGTTCATATGTGCTGCTCTACGTTTTACTGTAATAAACGGAAATTTTATATATTGGTTGTTATATATTGTTGCTTTTGGATCATCATTTGATGAAAATTTTCTGTGGAGTTTTCAGCTGGGATTAGCAGCAATCAGCATATATATGGATTGTGTGTATTTGGTACCCTTGCATAATAGCATTTGCCATTGAATAATGATCTTTCTGTGGACTGCAGGACTAATTCCCTTGGCCGCTTTTGGATGGGTCATTGCAACTCATTTGTCTCTTTATCCTGCTATTCTGATCATTCCGGTACGCCTTTCATTTGCTTTATCTATCTGTATACAGAGAAAGTGCTTATAACATGCTCTAGATATCTTTCAAATTTCCTTGTTCAGTTTTCTCAATATAAGTCAATCTCCAAGAAGTATAACCATTGTTCAGTTTTCTCACAGGTGATCTTTTTATTAGGATGCGGTCCAGATGCTCCTCCTAGGAAATTGTTTCTGCAAAGGCACCAACAAGAAGAAGTGTTGAACCAGTCAAAGCTCCCTCTTGGCTTCTCATGGAGACCAATCATTCATTTTGCATTTTGGGCTCTTCTGTGGTCAGTCTATGTGTTGGTTCTTTGTGGCATTTCTTTGAAACAGTTTGGTGGTATATGGGAAATGTTTAAAAGGTACTATCATTTTGCTGTTTTTGCTTCTTTCTTTTTATCTGTATTGTGCTAGGGTTTAAATTGCAGGAAGAACCCAAGAATTATTTTGCTTGTGTTATATTTTTTTTCTTTCATCAATATTGTAAATCTCTCAGGAATAGTTGACTCTTCATTTGCTAGGCCTAGTACTGGTAATTTACTTTATATGAAGTAGTGGGCAGCAGCTTATTATGAATGCTGGCAACAATCTTTCAATGTGAAACCAAATTAAGAAGTTTGTTGAGGTTGATGAATTTATCCTCAATGATTTTCCAGAATTTAACTGCAGAATAATTAAGTCATCTAGCGTTTTATTGCTTTTGACTTATGAGTTAGTCCGTACTTTGTCTTATAAGATCGTTGTATAAAAGATTTTGACTGTTCATTCTGTTTGGCTGGTTTTGCAGCACATATGGATTCATCCTCACTGTGGAAGATTTGTCTCCAAATATAGGCGTTTTATGGTGAGTTCAAAATTAACCTTATTGCATGCGTGATGCAGCTTAAGTTGATCATTACCTACTGTCTGATGTCCCTGATATTTTGTTACAGGTACTTCTTTGCAGAAGTTTTTGACTTTTTCAGGAACTTCTTTTTGATAGTTTTCCATGTGAATATTATATTTATGATATTGCCATTAGCCATACGGCTTTGCCACCGGCCCTGCTTCCTGGCTTTTGTATACATTGCCATATTTTCCATGCTAAAGTCCTACCCATCAGTAAGTTTTCACTATTCCTTTTTGGCTGTTCTATTTTTACCTTTTTTTTATAACTGATTTCTGAAAATTTGACATGCAACATCAGTAACTTGTGATTTTAGGTAAGTCTTATCTATATATGTGACATGAGCTAGATAATCACGTACATGCAGTCCGGCATAATCTAGTTGGTGCAATCAATTAGGTCCTTGAATTAGGTTAGATGATGAAGGGCTTTTTTCTTTATTGCTAGATGCTTGTAATACACCTGGTTTAATGATGATGTTTACTATATTAGATAACATCTTTGGATAAAATCCACATGAAGTGGGTGAATATGTAACTTGTGCCAAGCTGATTGTGAATGTTGGATTATGAGAACATTGACTGCCTGTGCCACCCTTCTTGAGCACTAAGATTCTCTAAATATCCAAAAGTGTTCCTTAATGTTGCATAATGAATAATTTATCTGGTTGCCCACCTGGGTTCTCTATACATAGGAGTCCATTGTGTATTCCTGCCTCATCATCCTTTTCTGTTTTCTTGTCTTATTGCATGCTTACCTTAATGTGATACGGTAAGTTTATTGTCATTATCCTCTGGTTCTTCAATGAACATAAGTTGACTTAAGGACAAGCTCTAAATATTGCTCGTCTTGGTTCACATTGCATCTCATGTGCATGTAACTAACTGTGGCTAGATTGTGGCACTTACACTATCATTTTTTTAACTAACTGTGGCTAGATTGTGGCACTTACACTATCATTTTTTTTCTGGACCCTTTTTTCTATACATGAGAAATTGTTAGTCTATCTAGCTGTTGCAGAGATTTGTGGACTTATTTAATATTACAAATCTGATTGGTCATTCCCCTAACCTTTTGTGCTTTAATATTGATTAGGTTGGAGATTCAGCCCTGTATTTGGGTTTGTTGGGTTGGTTTGTTAACGAATTAGCAGGCAAGTTAATAGGATCTCTTTTGATATTGAATGGAATTTATCATGGTTTCATATTTTAAGCCTTATGTCTGCCATGCAGATATGCAATTCTCTTTCTTCCTCTTTTGTGGATATTTTGGGGTTTCTCTTCTCAGCCCTGTCATGCACAACCTATGGATATGGAGGGTACGCCTCTTCCTTTTTAATGGCCAAATGAATAGAAAGTATATAATTCCTTAATACTGTGATTGACTGGCTGAAATTTTCAGGGCACTGGCAACGCAAACTTCTACTTTGCAACGGCTATGGTTTATGCTTGCTTGCAGGTGAGTTATTTCTATTTTCTGATTCATTGTTTTTTATCTATAACTTGAAATCAGGTAGTCCAAAATGAAATTTCAATTGAAGCAAATTAGCTTCTTGCTATTTATGGATGATATTGTGAATGTCATTCACAGTAGCATAGAGTAATGATAGAAAATAATTCTGATCATATCTTTTTCTAATTCCTGCTGAATTTTTTATAGTTCTACCGTTTTTTAATGGATTGTATGATCATTTTTATTTCCAACGTTCAACTAAAATGTCTTATATAGACATGATCAACTTTGTTCGTGTTTGAAATCATCTTCACCTTGACATGGTTTTATGGTTTATATTTAGTTTAATTTCAATTGTATATGATTAATGCTTATGGCTTAATTTTCAACCAAAGCAGTCAACGTTGGCAAAACGGCATCAGTTGATGTATTTCCTTATAAATTGACATTTGCTTTATCTAATTAGTGATTTGTGCTTGAAGTTATGGATTTTAGTAGCTTTCATCTATTTAACAAAATATTCACGTTTCAACTTACCATTTTGAAGTTATCAATGCTTGCTTAGTGAAAAGAAATTTAAACCTAATCTGATAATTGATTTTTCTTTCCCTTACTCTGCCCTTCTTTTTCAGATTATCCTAGTCGTTGAGGGTGTAAGTGCCATGTTAAACCATGACAGAAAATTGAGAAACCTAACCACTGGCAAGCCCCGAGATGCCAAATCTTGAGTTCTTCTGACCATGCCATACATATTTCTGGTTCTTTAGCTTATCTCTTGCCACTATGAAGATCCGTCGCAGCAGACTGGTGCAATATCTTAGCCGTCAGCATTGTTGTATCAGAATCATGCTTACCTCCAGTTATAATGCTTTTTTCTTAACAATTTAGTGGTTAACATGTGCCTTGAACCACCTGATCTGTTGTTTTGATTGCCCCGATCACTTATACAGTTTATCAAGCTGTATGTGAACTTGAAAAAAAATTTTATTAAAAACCAACATACAAGTGATTTCATTTTTATTAAAAGACACTTTTTAAAGCTTTTGTACCTGCATTTTGATTTATAATGTTCAAGGTATTTTGAGATAAGGAAGATAAATAATAACGTTTAATTGTGGTCTCCTTCAACCTCTCTCCATGCTTTTTTTTTTTTCTCTTTCTTGTTAGGACATTAATTTTTGCTGTAATATTACAGGTATTTAATTAATCTTTTGAGGGTTTGGTACATGGTTTATTCGTTTATTATCTAAAATCTGCCATAACGACCCATGCATGCATGAACTGTCCAAATGTAAAATTCCTTTGCCCATTAACAATAAGCCTCCAAGACACATGATCTCAATTAATATTAACAGTCTATAATAGTGCTTGGCTAATAAACAAAAAACACGTGTCGATTGTAATGGTGAAGGTAAGAATTAGTCATCAGGAGGAAATTGTTTGAAAAAACGACAGTTTAGAGCAGTGTAGGTATACAAGAGGTGACAAGTGACACATCGTGCAAAAGAAAATAATGTCCAAAGATCAAGACAAAAAATAAAAAGTAAGAAAGAAAAAGAAAAAGAAAACGTACCCCTAAATAATTCTGCATTTTTAAAGGTTGTTCATGTAAGAGTGACAATAACAACAACAATCATTAATGGAAACTTTACTTGAACAGTAGCCAAGTTTAATTTGTTTTTTTGAAAATGATGGATCACACATAAAAAGTTTCCTATTTTCAAATAGTACTAATGTCGTATCCATTAAAGCGTCGTTTAGGATCGTGGTGGGAATTTTCCCACTAACCTTGAAATTTATATTTTATGATGATTTTAAAGTAAGAGTGAAAATGAATGGTTATAAATGAATTTTATTATGCTTGAAATTTGTTTGTTTAATTAATAGATTTTAAAATATTATTTGTAATCATTTATTAAATTAATAAATAAATAAATTTTAAATTTATTAATAAATTGATCCTCAAATGTTATATTCTATTATATTTTTGAATGTAAATAAATTAAATACAAATAAAATTTATTATATTTATAATTTATTTAATTAATTAATAAATTTTAAAATATTATTCGTATCATATATTAAAATTAAGAAATAAATTAAAATTCAATTTATTTACAAACAATTCATCGAACTTTATATTTGATTACATTTCAGCCTAAAACCTAAGTAATTGACATCCCACATGTTACCACATAATATTTCTTGACCTTTCTAACGTGATGCGTCCTTCCACCAAGACACTTTTCTTAATTGTGGTCTCTTTCGACCTTCAACCTTCAACCTATCTCCATGCTTTTTCTTTTCAAACAAACAATCGTTGCTCCAACGACCAAAAAGATATTGGGAAAATAATAGAGGTTGCATTAGTTTGATTGGTAATCAATGACAATGCGTGTGGTGCACTCCTATCATATTCGGTAAAGATTGAATGCGATAGGGGTCTTCAAATTTTGATTTTAATTAAATTAATCAATGAATTGGTTGATTAATGAATTAATTTTGATTGATTATTATAAATAATTTTTTATTAATTCAATTTAAAAATCGAATTAATTGAAATTTTAATCAAAATATAGCAATACCTATATATAAAATTAAAAATATATGAAATTAACTATTTCACTTCAAGTTATTAGAATTTTTAACTTAATATTTTGGTATTTAAAAATTTTTATCGGATGATTTTATTTAATTTGTTTTACATATGATAAATTAAGAATTTAAAATATAATTTAATTTAATATATTTTATTATTTGGTTAACCAAAAAAATTAACCAAACTTACATAATTAATTTGGGTTGATTAATTTTAAAATTAAAAAATTTTGTTCGATTAACGAAAATAAAATAACATAATTCATTTAATTTGATTTTAAGTAATTCAATTTAAAACTAACGGAATTGATTGAAGAAACACTCCTAAATTATAGAAAACATTAATAATTTGATTAGTATAGTTATGTATATTATTAAACCATTATAGTTTATAGTTCGAAAATGGGTGATTAGAATAAATTTGGGTTAATGTGATGAATAGTCACATGATTATCGTAAAATATTTAATATAATATATAAATTTTAAAAGTTTTTAATGTAACACCTGAACTATGAATTTGTTAATTAATCCAATACTCATCTCTAATATAGTTAACTTCAAATGATGACACGAGACACACAAATAATCTTTTAAATATCAAATTAGTTAATAAATTTATAATTTAATATCATATTAGAAAATTTTAAAATTTAAATATTATATTAAATATTTCACTATAATTTATGATCATTTTAATATTATTCCAATAAATTTTAAACTATTTTAGTTAGGATACAAATATTTTAAAATTAGAAGGCATTTATTCACGAAATGTTAGATTTCGAAAGAAAGTGTGATATCAGGGAAAGTGTAATTCCTGGACAAAGGTGTGATTTTTAGGATATCCCTTTTTTAAATTTCTGAGTTCGGTCGAGGAGAATATATGTTTATTAAATCATGTGTTTTTATCATAATATCCTTGATAATATAACAAACATAACATTTTGATAAAAAAAACTAAATAAACATGACAAATGATGCATTTATCTTCAAAAGAACGAAGTATTTAATATTTTCTATAAAATTTAAATTGTAGCAATTACTACGTTTATAAAAAAAAATACAGTAATTGGTACAATTTAAAAAAATAACAATGAAAAATTAGTATGTTTTTTTTAAATAAACGTAGTAATTGATGATGTTATAAAACGATTACAATGATCAAATACTACATAATAAATAAATAAATGCCGTAATTGTTATTTAAAAAAAAACTTCACATAATTACTACATTGTATTAAAAAATATAGTAATTGATCATTTAATATTTTTAATAAACCTACGAGGAATTATTACTACGTTCATTTAAAAAAACGTAGTAATTGATCTTTTTTATAAAATTACTTGACTCAATTATTGCATTTATTAAAAGAAATTCGATAATTAATATATTTTAAATCATAAACGTTATTCGATTTTAACCATTTTGTTTACAACACCTAAATCCTCAACCAACAAATAAAGCACCTGAAGCAAAAAACCCCTAATCCATGACTGCCTTAAATGTTGGGTCTCTGTTATCGTGGTCGAGCCTAAATTATCACCACCGTTGCTAAGCCTAACTTTGGCAAGTTGCTTTTTTTAAGCAATAAACAGTGTATTTGTGAATTTGTGTAGATAATTTTAAACAATAAATAATTTTTGAAATCTTTCTTTAATCTAAGCTATTGTCCATTTGTATAATATAGTAATAATTATGTATCAAGATTTGTGCGCTTTTTGGTGGTATGATGATTATTTAATTATTTTTTTATCTGAATTATGTTGTTCTTATCTCTTTTTGTAATGCCACTTTCTGATTAGGTTTTTTATTAATATTATGATTATTTTAATTTGATAATCTTAATTTGCATAACATATTATTATTAGATTTTATCTCTTACTGTAATGCCACTTTATTACTTTATATGTTCTAACCTTTTTTTCTAAATGGTAATGAAGACCAAACTATTACATTACTAACATAAACTGAGTTATATACATTAAAGTAAATGAGCTATTGTTGATAGCCTATTTAGGTAAGTTCAAATTTTAAATGTCATGCTTCCAACAAATATCTTGTTATTGATCAATTTTGTTTGAATTTTTTTTTTGATTTAATCTTTGTTTTCAATGAAAAACTTAGTTTATTGTTAACAAGAAGGATAAATTTGTCTGCACATTTCTATAAGATTTTATTGTGACATACACAGTGTAAAAAATAAATCTTTGAGCTATGATGCAAAATCAACATTCATATTGTCATGCATCAATATGCAAAAAATCTATTTACTACTAATTCAACACAAAATGAATATGCAAAACAAACTATTGCTGTGTTTGCTATCTGTTATGCTAAAAGATCAAAATGCAAAACCATCTTTCATACTATCATGCATCATTATGCAAATCAAATCATTTGCTACTAATTCAACAAAGAATGAATATTAAAACAAACTATTTATTGTGTTTGCTATGTGTTATGCCAACAGATCAAAATGCAAAACCATCATTTATATTATCATGCATCAATACCCAAAACAAATTGTTTGTTTTGTTTGCTATATGTTATACCAAATGATCAAAATGCAAAACTATCATTCATATTATCATGCATCAATATGCAAAACAAACTGTTTGTTATTATTTCAAGACAAAATGAATATGCAAAACAAAATATTTTTTGTGTTTGCTATGTCTTATGCCAAAAGATCAAAATGCAAAACCATTCTTCATATTGTCATGAATCAATATGCAAAATATCCAGCTACTATTTTGTATTTATATATTTTGGTATTTCTAATATTTTATGCTAATCTTATTCCATAAATAAATTCATATAGATTTGTTTATATTATGGCTTCAAAAAAACATATCTCCCTCTATTGAACATGAAGAAAAACTCTCAATTAACACATCTTCTTTGAAAAAGAAAAAATCTCAGGGACATGGTAAAACGCTTCAAACAAATGAAAAAAAATTCATGTTGAGTTGAATGAAGATAGACAACTTATGTTAAGTGGAGGGGCAAAAATGGCTAGCCATATTGGATGTGTCATCCAATAGACTATATCCATTTACTACCCTAATTAGAGGAAGGTTTTAAATGATAAGAAGGATAGTATATGGGACTCGATTATAGTAAGTTATAACAATGAAATCCAAACTAACTAATCTTTATTGTTCATTGTTTATAGAATGCAATTATAATGTTGACATATTTTAATTTAATCTTTTAATATAAATGTTTTATGTCCCATCTGAGTAAAAGAAATTTGTGTTGCAATATGCTAAGTTGAAATTCAGAAACTTTAAAATCATATAGACAATCAAATATATTTTATTGTTTACTGATAATGTTGGATTATTGGCTCATCTTTTAAAGACATATTTAGATGTTATCAGTGAAGCAAAATGGTAGCAATTTGTTTGAGATCTTTTATTATTTGAATTCGGCATATGCATATCAATATTTTTTTTCTTTTATAATATATTATTCAAATCAAGCGTTTGTTAATATGTGATTGATTTTATTTTTTACAAAAAAAAAAAACAAAAACAATAAAAGAAAATATAGGCACAATAAGTGTATTAAATATCAAACCTTGAAAAAGGGTTATGTAAATGTGAAGTATGAACTTGTAAGTATT